TAATTTATTTAAAATAAGTTTCTTAAATTTGATAAATAAAAAAGTTAAGAATATATAAGAATAAATACACAAAAATTGTAAAAATGTATTTCTCATAAAATATTAAAAAGTTGGGGGGTTGGCGCTCAGTGCGTGCAGGGGAGCATGAGCCCCACTAGTATATATATATATATATAAGTGGCTCCCCGTCTGCTTGCATAGCTTTAATTACCTACTTGAATATCTTAAATATTTGAGTAATTAATGTCAGAGTTGCAGTGTAATGCTATTTTGTTATTTGAAAAATTATTTATTCGTTATTTTTTTACGCTAATGTATTAATCTCGATGGTTGTTCTGCGTTACTACCTTGATGACTATCATCGTATACATTTAAAACATGTATAGTATTTTTTCTCATTTGACTTTTGCAGTATTAGATTTTGTTATAAAGTTTTGTGAGTCTTATAATAGCTATTTTTTGCCAACTTTATTGTTGTATTGTACTTGTGGCTGTTGTTGTCGAGGTAGTTTGACGACGTTAGATAGCGTATAAAACGAATCGGTCAGCTAAACTCTTTTTTGACTAAAGTTTCCAGCAAATGTGATTCTCTGGTCCCCTCAGAATCTGTTTGTTCACTTGTTCTAGTACCAGTTTGGTTGCAAGGAAAACCATTTTATCAAGTAAATTTTTTTATCACAAAAACTTTCGTACATTATAAAACTAATGAAGTAAGTAAAAGTTATTTACGTGTGACAACCCATGTCTCATACTTAATATTCATTACTTCGAAACACAGAGTTTCATTTTTTAATTATATAAAGCTTAAGCTCAGCGATCTCCAAATATGGAGTGATACATCTGTTTCTGCAATCGCGTGGCATATAACTTTCTTTTTTTGAAACAAGCTAGCGTCGCCAAAATTGAACTATGCGTGCAACCTCAAACAATCTTGTTAAGCGCTTATCTTACATTATTAATTCGTACGAGTGAATCCAAGAACGTGAATAATCAACGATTTTAACATTCTTTACTAAGTATGTCCACAAAAAATATCATACAAAATTTTGACAGCAACTTGTACTTCATAAAAAATCTGAGATGTCAGCAGTTTTAATCATCAATTACTGTGAATTATTGCACCACGACTGTGCTTGTGTCAATCGAGAGCAATTAAATTAAGCTTTGTTTATCGTTTGGATTCCTAACCTGACGTGTCCTCTTTAAATGCAACCGTATACAAACCCTTGCACTTAACAATATTCCCCTTTTCTCTTTCATCTGACTATAAAGGTTGAACAGTAAGTTCTGTTGTGTCTTTTAAGTGAATGTAAGACTTAGTTCAGTGATTAAGCTACGTGTTAAAAGCATTCATTTCAAGCAAAT